AAGAACCCGGTCAACTGGTCGCCCTTGGGCCGGGAGATATTCCCCAACTGAAAACCCCATGCCCAAAAATAATAATGATAATAATAATGAAAAAAAAAAAAAAAAAAAAAAAAAAAGAGAAAACAAGAAGCACAACCGACTTCACGGGACAGACAACCACCAACCACCAAGATCAAAACAATAACGAAACACCTCACGATATACCCAATAGGAGAGGCGATACGATATGGCTTGCCTTAAGTTCCTATCTTCTTCCACGAACTTGGGGCTTATTCTTCGGGCTTGTGCTTCGTGGTCTTCCATTATACCGATTTTGGGTCTTGGTCACGTTTTAGTCTCGTGACAATGACTTTCCTGTGAATGGAAAAAAAAAAAAAAAAAAAAAAAATGGAGCAAGTTCTAGAAATGAGGAAGAATAAAAATCTGCGTTCTCAAGTATAATGGAAGAACGCATGACAATGGGGCAGTAAATCCCATGAAAACCGACCATCTTGAAAAGATAAGAAAAAATATAAGAGAAAATAAGGATCCATTGTTCCCAAGTTAAGAGAAGTTCATGACAACAGGTGTGGTAAATGCTATAAGCTAGAGGGTAAGTAATTTGGTCATAATACACGTATAGGGGTGCAGCATGTGCAATGGAGACCGGGCTAACACTTCCTATAACGAGCATCAGTGGGTGGCTACCCACGACTGGTGGTGAGGTACCTTAGGCTGGTTCTGACTACGCAGAAAGAATAGATTTAGAAGTCCTCTTGGCAAAAAAAAAAAAAAAAAAAAAGGAAAGAAAAGAAGATTCGGGACGTCTCCCTGGGTTTTTACTTCAGCAAGAATAGTTAAGATGCTTTCCCGGTCCTTACTTCAGAAGGATAGGTTTAGGCATCTCCCCGGCTTCTTACTCTAACAAGAATGGCTTCAGAATGTCTCCCTGGCTTTTCCGTTATCTTCCTCTCTGTGATCCAAATCGATCCTCTGTTTGTCTCCCATTATGTATCTTCGTAATCTCTAATAAAGAGAGTGTTTAATATGAAATCCGAGCGAGAATAATAGCCCTATGCGTTGACGAAGTCACGCTAGGGTTATTATCGCGAGGATAACCTGATTTGTGGCTTATATGAAATTGAGGCTTATATGAAAAAGGTAATAGCACATGATTGTATGCAATGGAGATTATAGATGCATGTGATAGATTATAGATACGCAGAGATTATAAAGATACATGTGGGAGTAAATGGTGAATCTCAGTGCTTTCTTTCTTCGCTTGTCTTGTCACTTGTTCTCTTCGGTGCCCGATTATGATCTGGCTCCCATCCCTCCCGCCCTCTCTCATAAATTGCACCTAGCACCTAGCGCCCTGCCTGTTGTCATGTGTAACGAGTTGAATGCGCCGCACCATAGCGTGGGCTCGAACTCGTTGATGTTGTCATGAGAACCGAGTTGAATGCGCCGCACCATAGCGTGGGCTCGAACTCGTTGATGTTGTCATGTGAACCGAGTTGAATGCGCCGCACCATAGCGTGGGCTCGAACTCGCTGTTATAAAAAATTGATGTTGAATGTAATGAGTTGAATGTGCCGCTATTAGAAAAAAAAAAAAAAAAAAAAAAATGCACGCCATACCTTAGCGTTGGCGATCCTCAATTATGCTTCGTCACGTGACATATCACGTGTACATAGAGTTGTTATGAGCACAGTATGTAATAGTAGGAGAGAAAAGTGATGGAGTGGAGCACTACTCCCATTATGTATCTTCGTAATCTCTAATAAAGAGAGTGTTTAATATGAAATCCGAGCGAGAATAATGGATAAAAATACCGGAGATTTTATTTTAGTGTTAAGTTACGCAAAATTTGGGTCATTACGTGAAAATCTTAAGGAAATATTTAAATCGGAGTGGAAAATTAAATTAAAAATATTATGCAATATTATTAAAGATCTATCACATATTCACTCTAAAAAGTTTATACATCGAGATTTGCATTCTGGTAATATTTTATTAAAAGAACAATATGAAGCTTATATTACAGATTTAGGATTATCAATATCGTTTGATGAAAAACAAGATGGTCAGATTCATGGAGTTTTGCCATATTTAGCGCCTGA